TACTGGTTTTAGTGTTCATGTGGCCAGTCTGAACACAACGGTCAAGTTGCAGGTGTGTAAATGCGTGTGTGTGTATCATCCATCTCTCCACCTCGCTGACACATCAAGGTAAATAAAGAGCTTTAAAACCCAAGTATGTGTTTATGTCTTAATGCAAAAAGGGCTAGGCAGAGGGCAGCTCTGTGACAATTAGCGAACTGTTTGTTCAAGAAACAGTACAGTGGTTTGCAGTGTTTCCTCATCCCTTGTGCATGAGTGGCGATAAAACTCATTATTAGGCTGATTCACAATCAGGAGTTTCAACAATTAAGTTAAAGGATTCTAATCTTCTTTAACAAGTGTTAGTCACATTACATTCAGTAATTTTGGCTGTTCATTTACATGACAACATTGTTTCAGGGGTTTGAAAATACAAACTTTTTAAAACAGTTTTCGAAGTGTACGTTTTTGAAAACAATATCGCCTCTGTGTGAACTACAAAAGCATGAATTTGTGAAAAGGGTGATGTCATGCGCATGCATATTACATGTTAAATCTAGGTATGTGTGCAGGCACACAGTGTTTCTTTACTAACGCATCTTGACGTCGCCACCTACTGGCCTGGCATGCATAAAACTGTTTTTAGTCGCGGATCCCTGTGAACGGGATCATTTTGACACTTTTCAGAAATGAAATGAAAAATGTTTCCTTTTTTTAGTACATCATTGTGTAAACATACGCTTAGTGTAATGTACAGTACTTTTAAAGAAGTAAACCGTAACTTGAGGCACATAGACTGTGTGTTCTGGTATTTTAAATTTATTTAAGAAAAAAAATTACTGCTTTTATTCAGCAAGGATGCATTAAATTGTTTTAAATAAAAATTTTAAGTAAAAGTAAATTGACAATTCGTGTTTTTGCAAAAGATTTCTATTTCAAATAAATGCTGCTGTTTCCCCCATTCATCAAAGAATACTAGAAAAAAATGTTTCACGGTTTTCACAAAATAAATAAATAAATAATAATATGTTTCTTATGCAGCAAATACGTATTAAAATTATTTCTGAAGGATCACGTGACACTGAAGACTAATGTAAATTGTAAAAATATTTGACAATATTTCTGTTTTAACTCTATTAATCAAATTGGCGAGCATAAGAGACTTCTTTCAAAAACGTAATAGAAATAAAAAGATCCTGAACTTTTGGAAGATTTGAAGACTGTGTCAATTAAATCTAATTCTATCTCATGGTGTATGGAAAACAAATAATACAACATAAATAATACAATTTTTTATGCTGGCTTATTTATTCAGTAAATGGTCTCAGTCCTTTACTGCACTGGTGATACAACAAAATTGCTTCTACATAAGCCTGTTAACGCTCAAAATCAAGGGCAGGGTACAGTGACTTAACCTCTGACTTTTCAGAACCTGGAAACAAACCACTGTGAATACAAAATATAGATATAGAAATACAGATATATGGTACAGACAAATGTTTGTTTCTCAGCACTGACTGTCCCCTCCGAACACCTTGTTGGAGTTTTAATATAGTACACTAATCCTGGCACATTGTTGTCTCTTTTGCAGCAATACTATGGTGTGTTCATTCTCGTAACTGCAACTTTGTGGCTTTATATCTCACAGTTGTGACTTTAGTTCTCTCTTTTTTTTCAATATAATTTCTTGTTATTTGGATATTTCATCTCACAATTGTGATGAGGGAGCCTCCAAAGAGAGCCGGTGCCCCGGGACGCCACAGAACCGTAATCCGTTCTTGCTCAAAAGCACCATTTCACCTAAAAAGCTTCAACCTGTTTGCTCTCACACTAGCCTAGATCCTGAAATAGCCTCTCAAACTGCCCTATTGCACTTCTTGTTCTGGTACAATAAGCTTCACAGCTGTTACTCTGAGGATCACTTATATGCAGGTTAATATGCGAATGTTATTGAGTTCAGAAGAGATGACCTCTTAAAGAGATTTTCAATAACTACTTGGAATTTATTGAAGCAATATAATGATTGACAAAAAAATAGATTCTGAATGCAAAATCAGGTTTACTCAGCTTTTTGACACAAAATAAATGTTTTATTTACAATGAGCAAAGGGGAGAGCTAGCCTGACTCATCTTTTCCATTTTTATCGCACTGCTAGTAAAGAGCGGATGGTAAGGGCATAAACTGTATTGTATAAGTGTGAGCTATTGTTAGACGCAGTGACATCTTCTCTGTGCTGCCTGACCATTGTGAAATCCATCAGCAAAGCATTCATTCGTATAACATCCGGAAAGCCATTCTGCCTCAGGAATTTATTTCTCCTCTCCCACTGTGTTATTTCAAGGTAAGATTAATATCAATTCGAAGTCTCTGCCATGAATTTCTAGAGGGCATCCCCAGGCAAAGTATGCAAAAAGTGAAATTTGTTGTAGCAATGTGCTGCATGGAACATCACCACCATATGGCTCTCGCCAAATCATCATAATGTCAACAACAAACATATGTGGGTCTGTCTTGTGGCTTGTTCTCAGGAAAACATGCGCTTTATTACTCGTGCTGAACATTTGTATCGAGGAATAATGCAAAGAGGCATATTTCTGACAGCGTATTCTTCTGTGTAATGTTTCTATTGTGTTATCAGGGATATGAATATATTTGCCAAGCAGCTGTGCTCACATTTCTCTTATACTGCTGCCTTCAGAGGTGCACATGCTTACTTATGCAACTCCAGTTCTCTGGTTACAGCTGCAATAAACTTGATTTGTTGGAAGTTCAACAATCAACAGTCATCAGTATTTGAACATAATGCTGATATGACATTATACTGAAAATTATTCTGAACTATTACAGTCTGGCTGGTTATTTCTTAGAAGCATTGTAAATCAATACAGAGATCTTTATATCATAAAATAAGCTAGATGATTTGTTTTGAAATTTAGTTTGACAATGAAAGTTAATTATAATTTTGTAGCCACCTAGTGATTTTAGAATTCCTTAATAATAAATTAATATGCATTTATTTATATTATAATAATGCTACTTAAATGTATTAAATGCACTTAATAATAATGTTAAATGCATAATTATGATAATAATAATAATAATAATTACATTATTATTATTTTACATTAATCTCAAAATGAGCCTGTTTTCTTTATTTTGAAGACGTTTGTATGCTGTAAACATGGGCGGATCTAGAAGATGATTTTTAGGGTGGCAACACCAAAGCAAACAACATTCAATCATCTATATGTAATCTATAGTATATCATCTATACAACAACTATACTATAATTGAAAACAAATTATGGCTGCAAGCAGCAATCATCGGGGTCCAAGCACCAATGGCCCATGTGCATGATTAGCGATCTAACTGAAACTAATCTTATGATGCCTTTTTTTAGTCCAACTTGAATCTTCACTTAGGGTTTGCTGAAACTGGTTACAGCAAAACACAGGGGTCAAAAAGTGCAAACGACTTTCAAAAGAAATAGCTCCTTCTTTATTTAACGGCAAAACATGTTTACTGTCATAAGGCACGTGATCGTAATATATTTGGTGTAAGTGTGAACTTATTTTCAACGTTTAGACTAATCGCATATCCATTCATTTCAAATGAATGTGAAGATATAATTTGCAGCTCAAAACTTTATCTGAAGCATTTTCTCTAGGATCGTTTATCATTTATTTCTACAATTATGTGTAGCCATAACTTATGCTTGCAGTTTAAGTGTTTGTTTTATTATTCATACCACAATAGTAAATGAGTGTCTTTATAGAAATGTTATAATATTTAAATATATTATATTGCAAAAGACAAATAAAATTGTCTCTTCATTTTAAATGGATAGCAATATATTTAATCATGTTTGGCAACTTGAAAATATGTTTTATTGGGTCTATAAAAATTAAATAAAGATACAAATCTATAAGAATTTTACAGATTTCAGTGTACACTGATTATATAAAACCATTCTGTCAGATATACAAATGAAGTAAATCTATGACATTAATTTTTCAATCAAAGGGATGGAAACTGATAGAAAAAGATGAGGCTTAAAACATTCCTTATCCTGTGGCTCCCTATGGTGGACAACATTAATATATATTTAAATTGAAAATGGTTGATAAGTTTAGAATTTGCAGATACGGTCATACATTCATTAGAGATCCAATTCACCTTTAGTGCTTGGATCACTAATAACAAAATATCAATATCCAGGGAAACAAGACAGTGTCTATTAACCACTCAACACATGCTAAATGTCTAAACTCATTAGAGTAGGTCTACCATATTTATTTATGTAGGCTAATTGGATGATATATATGAATCACAAGTTTTAGTGCATCACATTTAAGAGCAAGGAAAACGTTTGAATTTGCTATAAAGAACAGTCAAAATATCAAAGCACTGGGAATGTTTGTATGTGTTGATTACGGGAGGTCACGCAGAACACTCAAACAACCACCCAGCAACACTTGAGTAGCAACCCTGAACACCCAACTATCTGTTTGTCTGTCTGTCCTAACTATTTTGTGCAAACTATTTTAAATTTGAGGAAAAAGACCTTGTCAAGCCAACATAAAGATTTTCTTTTCAAAAATGTCATAGTTTATTATAGTAATATTAGCTGTTATTTGTTTGTTTGTTTGTGGGCGAAATGTTGATTTAAATATTTTAAATATTACTACATTAATTGCATAAAATGTTGACCAACAATGTTAACAATGTTTTATACATTGTATTAAATATTATTATTAGTAGTAGTAGTATTACACTTAAACTATAATTTAACAATACAGCAGATTATTATTGTTGGTGTTATAGTCTTTTAAAACAGTCTTAAAAAACAAAGAATACATCTGGCTCAGAACAAGCTATATATTTTAAAACTACTGGACAACACAATACATAAAATACAGTTAATTCTGTTTTGACAGGCTAAATAAATAGATGCTAAAATAATTGAGTTGAATGAATGAGTTTTAAATGGCATTTCTCGACTCTGTGTTCACAGGTGATGTATGCTGGACACAGGTGGAGCTGCTCTGGTTCAAAGTGCTGCGCCGGTCTTTTCAAGAATGAGTGACCGCCTCCAGCGAGCCCTGACTCCGCCTTCAGGAGGGCTGCGTGCCGCTGAGCGGAGAGAGGCAGCGGCAGTGCGAGCTGCGCCGCGCGTCAGTGAGGGAGACAGACAGAGTTCCTCCTGCATATGCGGCCACCGGCACCTCACTGAAACACACCGACCATGGACCTATTCGAGTTTGACTTCTTCAGGGACTGGGAGCTGGAGCAGCAGTGGTACGTCTGCGGGCTTTATGTGTTTATGTGCATTCATTTTATTGAATGAAATGTCTTTGTCATGCGCTCCGATCTGACGTGGTCACATTCCGAAATAGGAGTGAAACCCATTATGACGCATGATAGCGGCTGTGTCTCAACCCCTAGAGAGCAACCTACCTCCACAGCGTTTTTGGGCATCGTAGACGCGTTCCGAACGCGCATTCGCAAAGCGCCTATGATGTCCAGAAATGTTGTCTTGGTAGGCAGCTCGCTAGGTTTCGTAGTGCTGACTTCTGCTGTCTGCGGTGATGTGACTGCTCTTCTGTTTATATAGATGCATTTATAAAAGATGATTTGATACAAACTTTAATGACAGAATCGCTGTTTTAAGAATTGCGTGGAGATGCATAGGTTGAAACAGAAAAGAAACATAGAGCAGCTTGTGCCACTTCTTCCTGCTACTTTAAACTGAATGTACCATATCATAGATAATTATTTGATTCGATTATTATGAATCAAAAGTCCTATATAAGTCAACTAGACACACTTTATTTAAGTCTTCCTATTTGGGCAATTGCAGTAATATAATTGATATGTAATTACATATTAGTCAAATATATTGTGATGCATCCTCTAAACTCATTTGGTTAGTGGTTTAAGTACTGCAGGTTATCACATGTACATGGACATTATCTTATGTATTCTGTAGAATTTGGAGGTGTTTGCATTTTTTTCTTATATAAAACAATCCCGCAGAAACAAAATTCACAGACATATTCAGTATGCATTCTTTTTTTTTAGTGCAAAAGTGTAAGCTTGGTATGCATGAATTTAGTTATAAATCTCAACTAGTAATTGTCAGGGATTTGTTAGTTTTTATCCATTACTTTATCATGCAAACATAAATATGTCGTATTAGTTTAGCCTATTTAATTGTCATTGTTAATGTGGGCAGTCAGCTATTGCGCCCCCCGCTGGTTAGGGCTGTGTGTTATTTATATTTTTATGTAAATACAATATGATTTCAGCATGATTCTCTGCCTTAAATCTTTGCTGGTTTTTAACACTCTCTACATCCCCACCATGTGGCAGAGTGCAGGAACCCATACAAAAGCAATATAGCAGAAAAAAATGAACAATAGCAATGAAACCTCTCCATGGATTTTGTGCATTTATCACTTGACACATATTGACAAATGCACATGAACTTGAATACGTTGGGTTGGTTAGTTTCTATTGTCTTGGATGATGCACGTCTTTTTCCTTTGTTGAGCTGATTCTTAGTTGCTTCACGTGTTCAACACCTTCCTCCGATTTTATCCTCTTTCTTTTGTTTTATACTCACTGTCCTGCACATAACAGAGGATCGTTGAGCTGTTAGAAGCAGAAATGTGATTTGTATAATATGGTTTTAAGTGGCCACATATTCTTTTTTTTAAAGCTGTTAGGTCAGCATATGATTTTGCCACTATTTTTTTTTAATTACTCCTTTCTTTTAGTTATTTAACACATTTTGGTTACATGTCTCCCTTAAAATGTTCTAAACAAGAATATAATCAGCCATCAGACGACACTCAAGTGTTATGATATGTCAGTATTTTATCTAGGGACTTGCTGTATAACATATGAATCCTTTTTTGAATTCCCTTCAGTGATGGCACGTTGGCTTGTTGACGTAAACCGTCTGTTGTCTGAAAAGGAGTTTCATATCACACTCTTTATTTTCCATATAGTCACTACAAACATATATATATAGCAGAACTTAAGGTTAAAGGTTATTTTTCTATGCGCCATGCTGATATTAAAACTTCTCTCTCAGGAACAGCTATGGGCTAGTTGCTTATTACTTCTGCGGTGGTGGCAATTTTGTCTGTTGTTGCCACATTCATAACCTTGAGCTACCCATTAAGTCTGTGAATATTTATGAGGGTATTTAAAAAGCCATTGTTTTTTGTGCTAAGTTTGCTTGGTCTGGGTTCTAAAGGCAGTATTGCTATTTTACCACTATCCGTAAACTGTGAACCAACCAAAAAGGCATTTGAAATGTAGATTCGGCTAAATGCGTAGATGAATGATCGCTCTGTGTTTTGTAGCGATAAATCAATGTTTCAGAAGCAAGCGTACAATAATAATGCACTCATAATTCATTGTCTTTGTGCTTAATACTTGCCATCTTTATCTGATGGCCCAGGGCTGTATTCAACAATCATATTGATTTGAATCTGATCTCCCGTATGTTGGTTTGGGCTTCGACACGAGTTGGATATAATCAAGTCAGATTAGGTGGTGCAAAATTCAGCGAGGTGCAAAATGAGCTCAATGGAGAGCAGTGCCTTATTTGTAGACAAAGGTTAAGCATGGGAGGCACTGAGGCGGTGGGGATTGGGACATGCTTTTCCGTGCTGACACAGCCGTGACATGAATGGCTGCCACAATTATGTTGGCTCTTCACTTTAACAGAGTCAAATGGCTTTGAAGTGTGTTTTTCGATTATTTTGCAAAAGTAATTGCTCATCTCTCTCTCTCTGTGTGGTGCAGGTTTTCGTTTGGTAAATCATTTTGTATTATGAGAGTGTAAATTAAGTATTTGTCATAACCAATGCATTTGGATTAGAGAACCGGAGCTATGGTTAATTAGACTTTATATGCCTATATTTTATAGGTTTGCACCTTTAGTGGTAATAGAAGACCTTGTAATTAGGTGCAGCCATTTATTTGTGACTTTCTTTTCATTTGGCGGGACTTTATGGCCGCCCTGAGAGCAGGACCAGAAGGGATTATTCAATGACTCAGTTGTGCCTTTTTTCCCCCTGTTTCTTGCCCTCTCTCAGCAGGGATTTCTGTCCCAAATAACTCATTTTTATATCCTGGTGTTAAAATGTGCAAAGCCGAATGAGAAGTTAACAGAATTTCAGACTCTGAGCATTTGTTTCGCATATGGAAAACACAGGCATTACTTTTGCATTGTTAGTATCAATATTCAGAAAACCATTAAATGTGTGTTTTATCATTCATTAATTAATTCATTCATTCTAGCTGTTCACACTGAACAAAGCGTGTATCATGTTTTTAGTTGATAAAAGTTAAACTAGATCCTCATTTCCTTTAGGAATGGGTTTTAGGTACACGTAGGTTGTAGGCTTTGATTCTGCATAAATACAATTTCACATCATAACTGCTTTGTCATTGTAACAACCTATGTTCTAGCAGATTTGCATGTGAATGAACATGCACAACAAAGTATTTGCTGTGTAAGCATATACAAGTAAGATGAGACCGATCACAATTTAGTATGTAAAAATATGTAATAAAGAAGACCAGTTAGCAACCATGGGAATATTACACATCATCAGTCTACATTCTCAGTGTAGAATAGATCTAGTTGTGACCACATGACATATACACTATGCCCTTTTACTATACTATTGTATTGTCTATTGTATGAATTTTATGAATATGTGAGTTTTGTCAGTGCATCATCTAAAGTGCACTACTTCTTTTTTTTTTTTTTTTACTTTTTCAGTGTGAACATGCTGCACACAATATTTATACTACACAACGGCATAGAATATAGTACATGATTGGGATGCACCTAGGAGTCAGTGAAAATTGAAGGGACATTTTCAAAAAAATAAAAAAACTACAAAAACAGTTTGAACGGAGTCTGCAAGTAGAAAAATGTAATAAATAGTATTAGGGTTTTATAACAAACTCTAAGCACGGAATGTTGAGATATCAATTCCTGCAAGATAAACACAGAAAAAATATTTCTGACAGTTTTAGTTGACAGAATTACATTGATAAAAAATGATTAAGCATATAAATGTAACATTCATTTGGTAGCCCAC